ATTATCGTTTAACACTTCTTAAATAAGTTTTTTGTAGGTTTCTATGATGATATATATATGTTCTACATGTTTACAAATCTTGCGTGTTGGTTTGCTCATTGAAGAGCTTAGGAAAACTAAAAGTATCTATCTCATTTGTTTCCTTTTTTTCTAGTCTATTTTAGATAAGGAATCTATGAAGTGGACTAATGAAGATGTTTCTGCATAATTGGTCGAGAATGAATTTAATAAATACGTCAACGAATTCAAAGGTATCGACAAATCACTCTTCATTTAATAATTCAGTCTTTTTTTAATCTGTTTCAGAACAAGAAATTGATTGTTTATTGTTATTAAATTTAAGTTCTTCATGTATAGAAGAACTATTATCGGTTAATGCAGATGATAATATTATCGAAGCACCAACCATTGATCTTAAAACAAGATTCGAAAAAAAACTGGAGGAGTTAAGAGAAAATATTTGTTGAAATAGTAAGTGTTTATTCATTTATACAACTAACTGCTTATGTCCTATTTTTTTATTTTAATACAAATGCGACATTAAATGAAAAACAATCTAATATATTTATACAACAATTGCACTCTTATCAATCGAATAATTTATTATTTTTTAATTACTTCAAATATTAATAAGGAACATGAGGATATTGATCTATGGAACCAGCTGATATTCTCTCTATCGACTTCAAATCCATCAGACCTACCACTCGGTCTATCTTTATTGAATACAAATCGTTCACAACTTACTAGTGCATCACTTGATCAAATGATCCATCAACCGTTGCATAATCCTGTAACAAGTTCACCAACATCTCAATCAAGAACAAAATTTCATTAAATTATTTGATTACAAACGAAGCTGATGTAGAAAGAAACAACAGTTAGTTAGAACGATTCGTAATGACGTAGTTAAAACTTATTATATTAGTTTTTATCAAACAGTATTTGAATTTGATCGAATGATAGTGTTTCATAGGGGATTGAATACTTTTTTCATCTTTATTTAAGCTTTTTCTCATTTAGAGTTTGTTAACATCAGCATTAAAACAACAACTCCCTCGTGATCGAAAAGTATCCAGTCTTTTATCTGATATACTGGCAAGAAAACGACAATCATATGGTCATCAATTGTCAAGACGAAAACTGAAAATCGTGAAGGTGGATTCGATATCTCGTTGTGTAAGAATCAAACTTTTATCTTATATTTTCTCAATTTTAGTCTTTTTACGAATATTTCGTTGAAGAAAAATGACAATCAGAAGAGTCTTCAATGCATATTTTAATTAATACGACATGTTATGATTATAGTCAAGTTGAAGTTAAAATGAATATTCCATTTGCATATTGTCAACGACTTGTTGAGGAAATGAAACCAATCAAAGATATTGTCGAATTATATTCAGCTTTGGCAGTGATCGACCAAGTCCTAGAATACTGTATTTTTTTTGATCCACTAAAAGTTCATTAAAATATTGCTGAGCTTGCGGAATTCATTCAAAGAAACTGGCACAATCTCGACATCACATATACACTTATTTTGTTTTTTTCCATCAACAGCTGATTCGTGAAATCAATCTCCGTTCTGATTCATTTAGTGGAGATAATATTCAAGCATTAAAATCTAGTTCTACAAAATTAGTTAGATATTTGGATTTTCAAAGAAAAGATAATATTACTGAAGTTAATCCATTTTATTTAATCTCTGTATAGTATTCTCTTTACTTTCAAAGAACAATCCCTTTTCATTTTAGAGCATTTGAGTATAAAACGTTACAAACACTACGGAAAACTATGATTAAATCATGTGAGTAATTTATTGACTATTTTCAAAGTATTCTATAATTTTCATCGTTTAGTTTTATCATTATCTATTGTAGGAAACAGTTGATCCTTATCTAATGATGCAATAAACATATTACAATAAATTCACAAGCTGAAAATATGACGGTTTTAATATGATCATATGTATGAAATATAATATAAAATATCTAGCAAAGATTCAAGAAATTTTGAAGGTATTGGATGATTTTTCATTGAAGACATGATTATTTGTCTTATCATTTGCAGCTAAACCATTTTGAGATGAATACAAGCTCAATAATCATGTACTATGAAGACACATTATTCTATATATAATGGTATGTAACGCTTCAAGAGTCAAGTTCAATGCGAAATTCTAGTAGGAGATACTTTTGAACAAACAGTTTTCAAAGAACATTTAAGACTCGAATCCTTCTAATTCATCCCATGAAAAATGCTATATTTTTATGGCATAAGATATTGAAAACAAATCCAAAATACTGAAGAAAATTTAGTTAATTCAAAAAAAAAATGTCCGTAGGCTTTCACATAACAACCTTTGATAAGAAACAAGCATCTTATTTTTAGCAATAAATGATTGTGTGCTTGAGTCATACATTATTTCTCTCTTTGTTGATTATAGTTTGAAATGATAAGATAATGAGATAGGTGATCATTGAAACTGTCAAGAATAATGTAAATTGTATCAATCAAATGCACAATAGAAATACCTTTTGAGATAAGGAATGAGAAAGAAAAAAAACATGTGATTATAAAGCAAGTGTTTTTCCCATGTGCATGGGTATTGATGATATTAAAGGGCAAAAGAATATTGAGCTATTTTTATTATAATCGATTGTTGGTATCAGAGTGCATGACCATTTGTGAAGCTTATTATTAACTACAGAAAACAATGAGCGTTCAAAAAACAATGCGTTTAACCAAATCTATACTCTAAAACTGAGAAAAGTTACATGGATATTTTTGTTCTTTTCATTGTCGTATTTTACTTTCTAAATATAATAAAATGATGTCGTTTTGAAATAAATGCGAAATAAAATAATTCATATGTGAATAAAATATAATATGTTTAAACAAATATAGTTTACTTTTTTACTCATACAATGAGATACAAAGTCATTCACAATCATACCAGAGAGAGAAAGAAAGACGAAAAGAATTATATTTTTGTCCTTGGAACAATATAGATTGCATATATTGTTTTGAAAACATTGATGTGAAGTAATGATAAATGGTATCATTTTTACTGATACTAAGCTAGACGAAATGATAAACAGCAGTGAAGAAGATATTTAGAGTGTAAAATCTTATGCTCACATAAAAGAGTATTTTAGATTGATTTTTTAATAACATAATGCTCAGTGATTTATAGGTATATATATGTTCGTGTGTGTAATACAATGAATAAAATATTCTTGTCGAATTTTTTCCGGTATTGATTTATGTTACAAATACAAAACTGGATGGCATTGTCGTTAATCCTTTGGGAAGTATTAATAAAGCACAAATAGTATAGGAGTAAATGTTGCTGTGTCGTTGTTTATAGTTTGACTGTTGTCTCTTTTCTACAAGTGTCCTTTTGATTATTAGTATTGCGTAAACTTCAAATATATCTAAAGATGAAATTACAGTGTGATATAAGTAAATAATTAATTTAAAGCTCACATGAATATTTCATTAAGATTAAGTTTTGACGTGTTCGTACTTCAAAATAGATAGGAAATGATTATGCATCAGTCTAAAAAAATTACATAAATAAGTATATGGATATAGCTTGTTCATATTTATGAAGAGATTTTTCGTTTACTAGTTAACTAATGATACTAATAAATATGCATGATATGAATTTTTCAATACTACTTCTGTTTTTTTTTAGGATATTTGGTGTTGTTTATCACTTACTCGAACTTGTCAAAATACATGTCCTTTTTAAAGAAAGTGGAAGGAAGACATGATGATTTTTAATTGTTATCGAAGGACTCACGCAACCACTTATGGAATTCATATAAGAAGTGTAAACTAATAACAATCTGGAATATATATCTTGAGTAAAAATAGGAAAGTCTATGACAAAGAGAAGGGACATATCAGACGACAGTAAAAGACTTCATCTTCATTTATCCATCAATAGTATCTTTTTGATTGATTACTGGAAAGATTATGCACTGTAAATTTTATATAGATTCTATTTTTTAGAAAATCGACTTTAAAAATGCTAAAAGATTTTGAAAATTCCATTATTTATTGGCCAAATTTGGAATAGTTAGAAAATGTTTGATTTTTGGAAAGATTCATTTTTGAAAATCGAAAATCAACAGTAGTTTTAAACAACATTCGAAATTTCTTTTTTATTTCCAGAAAACCATTGTATTAATAATGACTTGTTTTTTTATGTTGTATAAAAAACTTGTGTTTTATTCGTGTGTCTTATCTGTGAACTTTTGCTGAGTAATATTTTTTAATTTCTTGATATTGATATATCTATTCAACTTGTTTTGAAATCCTTCGTATTATTTCCTTATAAAAGACTCAAGAACAAGTAAAAATATCGTTTTTTATTTTTTCTATTTGTCTACTTTATTTTAGATTAATAATATATAGAATGGAGCATTGAAAATGTCTTCAGATGGTTGGCTGATAATGATTTGGATAAATACGTTGACAAATTTTAATCTATCGGCAAATCACTTACTATTTTACTATTCGGTCTATGTTTCATTTATTTCAGAAGACGAAATTCATGGTGTATTATTATAACATTTAAGTTCATTATCAATTGAAGAGTTAATATCGACTAATACAGATGATAATGTTATTAACAAACCAATCATTGAGATTGAAAGAACATTCGAAAAAAAGTGGAGATTTTAAGAAAAATAAAGTTTTTCAAGTAATAAGTAAGTATTTGTTCATTTGCTTTAGCTGATTAACTTTGTTGTCTTTTCTGTTTTAGTAGAGCTGTGGTATTAAACAAAGAATATCTGATACATTCAAACAATAATTGCACTTCCATGAATCAAATAATTTATCATTTTTCAATATTAATAGTGTACACCACTACAGAGAACAGCAGCACCAATTTAAAATATCTCTACCAAGTCCATATACATCAACTCAATCGCTGATGGATCATTATTGAGTTCAAATGATTAACAACTTACTGATGCACCATTTGTCCAATGACCCATCAACCATTAGATAATTCTTCAACAAGTTCAACAACATTTCAACCAAGAAAAAAGTTTTCATTACATTATGTGCTTCTAAGGTTTGATAAAGTTTTTCAAGAAGTTGTTCGAGATTCATTAGCAGCAAACTTTGGAGTACGATTATAAAATAATCCATCATAATGCAGTCAATACTTAAGGAATTGATTTTTATCCAACGTCGTTTGAATTCGATCGAATAATAGTTGCCATCAACAAGAAATGCAGCATTTAGTAAAATATTCAATGAACATATGGTGTGCTTAACACAAGATCGAATACATTTTCATCTTTACTTTATTTTTTTGTCTCGTTTAGATATTTTTAGCATCAGTATTAAGACAGAAATTTTCTCGTGGTCGACAAGTATACCGCTATTCGTCTGAGGCACTCATCAGCAAACAATAATTATATGATCATCAAATGTCAGAACAAAAATTAAAATATGAGAAGATTAACCAAGTATTTCATCGAGTATAAATCAAATTATTGTTTTACATATATTCTCTGATCTTTTTGTCTTTTTTAGGAATGTTTAGTTTTAGAAAAAGAACAATCAGACGAGTCTTTAATGCAGTTATGTCAACAAGTCGAATCGATCTATATTTTAATTAATACAACAAATAATAATGATAGTCCAGTTAAAATTGAAATGGATATTACGTATGTACATCATCAATGTATTATTTAAGAGATGAAGTCAATCAAAAGAATCATCGACCCTTATCTAGTTTTATCAGTAACCAATTGGTAAGTTTCAGAGTGTATTCCGTTTTGATTGATTATAATAACTCGTTGAAATATTGCTGAGTTTGAAAAATTCGTTCAAATAAGCTTGCATAATCTCAAAATCACATGTGAATTCATTTTTATTATTTTTTTCTATTACCAGCTCATTCCTAAAATCAAATCAATCTCCATCATGGTTTATTTGGTGAAGATATAGTTCCAGCATTAAAATCTAGCTGTATAAAATTATTCAGATTCATGAAACAAAAATATATAATTCTGAAGGTAATACATTATGTTGATCTATATATAGTATTTTCTTTCCAAAAACTGTTATTAAATAATGCTGCAATTTATAACCATTTAAATTATTGTATAATTCTCATCACTTATTTTTTTTACTGTTTATTTTAGGAAGCAATTGAAACTCATCCAATCATCCAGATAAAATCGATTAACAATATAAAAAATTAACCTTTGTCTAATTTTTTTCTCAATTCTTTTAAAATAAACTATTTGTTAATTCCATTGATAGTAGTTCTAGAAGTTTTTTTTCCACCAGATTGTAACTACTTCTATTTGTTTTAAACGTTGCATAAAATAAATAAAATAAACTCAATTGTATAATGAAAATTGATTTTTCAGTTTTTTAAAAATATTCTTATTACGAGAAATCCTTCAGAACCATCAATTCATAAAATTTGACGAAGGAATAAAATACCTGAATATATAGTGAGATATACTAGTGTTAAAAGATGTTATTCTAAGATGCACACTATATTACTTTCGTTATTATCGATTTTTATCATGCTTTTCGATTTTCTCTCTTTGTTTTTCTTCTCTCTGTTATTGTTGTTGTTGCTATTTTTGTTATTATTAGGATTTAATGATGATTATACCTTTGAGCGAGAAAGGACGGTCAGCGCAACTTTAATATTTTGTCGATTCTGTGCGATGATTATAAAGAGAAAAAAAAGTTATTATATGACATAGGGCAACCTTTGGCGAACATTCATTTGACTCTTCATCATCGTCGATAAACGCAATATGTGATCTATATTTTATGCTCTATTAATT